TAATTTAAAAAGTCAAATGAATCCATACGACGTGTGTGCTATATTCCAAGTCTCCTGAAGCTGATAAGTTACTCAGCAACATGCTTATTATTTATTTAAAGTTTGTTTGCCTCCTCATATCTCAATGATTTGCACAATGGTTTTTATACATTGACATGAGCAAACAATTATTTTAGTGAGTTTTGACCATGTTCTCTGAATTACAGAAACAGCTGCACATTTAATTGAACATAATTACTTCACTTGCTTCGCTCACTCACAGGCCACTCTGTCTTTGCTCAGCCTGTTTTGGTTGGATCAGCATGCTTAGCCATGCATGTGTAAGCTTCATTTGGAGATAATTGCTAATAATTATCCACTGATAAGTCAGTACGGCGCAAGGCAGCTAGAGAACGGGGGCTGTTTTACTGTCAATTTTCTGAACTGGTGCGAGAGCAGATAAGATATGAATTGATGAAGATGAGCTCTTTTTTTTTTTTTCAAGAGGTCAGTTGTGAGGGGGACTATTTAAATAGAGACTAAAGTGTTGTTTGCGCTTTTGTTGTCTATCAAGCTTCTATTATGTTGGAGGTCACAGACTCATGTGCTTCAGGCTACTATTTCAATAAAAGATAAATAAATAAATCACTATAAGCATGTTCTGCCTCCTGCCTTTCAAGGAGAACATTCAGCCTTTAAACTTTTTTGTTAGACTCAAAGCTGACTGAACAAAAAGCTCCTATTCGTATTCGTCTTTGTGGCATGTTAGCCATACAATTTTAAACAAGTGAGAAATGAAAATCTTTTTTCTGACATCATTTACTCACCCTCGTGTTGTTCCAAACCTGTATGCATTACTTCATTTTGTAGAACACTTGAAATTCATCAAAACTTCTGCTGAATAACCAAAGTCATACAGGTTTGGAACGATAAGGTTTGTGAGTAACTTAAAGCTATTGTATGACTTCAGAAGACTATGACTTTATCGGCAGGCCGATATTATCGGCCGATATGAGGCATTTTCCAAACTATCAGTATTGGCATGTTCTAATGGCCGATAAATTAATATTTCAAAAATAAAATAAAAACGGACGAAACGGTCCTGAAAACGGTCATGAGTGTTGGAGTTGTACAGTTTGTCCACCAGAGGGCACTCTACACAGTCCCTGTTGACATACGTCTCGTGACCTTGAATAACAATTAAAAGAACATCCGCATCAGTTCTCTTAACTCAAATAAGCATGACAAAATTTGTGACTATTATGTCCAGTTTTTCTGCTGTTAAATAAGCCGAATGAAGTGGAATTAGCTTGTAATAATTACGTTACGTTGTTACAGTGTAGTTGACTGACTGTCCTTTTAACTTTTGACTATGTGACTGAAGTCATTCTTTAATAGCACGTGACAGTTATAGCAATGAGACGTATCATCTCTCCCTGGCCTGTTATATTGAAAATGTATGTTTTACAATTCGCAGTATGACTTTATGCATTGCTAATTTATGGCTCATCATAGCTAACCACAAAGCTAGCTAATGCCACTATCATCAGTCTGTTCTGTTGTGACAATAAAAGAAACAAGTTTCTTTTTAAAACGCATTATTTGTTGCGCATTTCTGAAATTAAAAAAAAAATAATTAAAAATATCGGCCGATATATCGGAATATCGGATTTTAAAACAAATATTTGTATCGTATCGGCCTTCAAAATCCTTTATCGGTCTGGCTCTACTTAGTATAGTGCACAAGTCATGTGGACTACATTTGTGGTGCTCTTTTGTGTTAATTTTGTGTTTGACACCCACAATTGAATGGAAAAGAATAGGTTGGACAATCAGCAATAAGTCAAATTCCACATAAGTCAGTAAGTCATACAGGTTTGGATTGACATGAAGATGAGCAAATTTAAATATCTGGTTCAACTATTCCTTAACAACATATTAGAATGTTTTAGAAACTCACACAAGCAAAATGCATCATAATCTTTTATCAGAACAAAGCAGTGCTTCTGAATATGGCAAAGCCTGGCTAAATTAAGACAGACAGTTTCTATGGTGGAGCCCTGGAGAGCAGCTTTGGCATTAAAGTCTAATTAAATATATTTTTTTTACTGCACTTCTCCTTGAGGCAGCTACTGCACCTCATCTCCCCTGGTGACCAGACTGGAACGAGAATGTTTCGTCTCTGTTAGCGATGCTACCATGCCGACGGCAAAGGGACCCGGCAGGCCCTTGCTGTGTCCCCTTCATTACATCAGCAGCAAAGCTCTGCCTCATATCAACACCCTGATTAAAATGTTTATGGTGATAAGAGGATATGAAGGTCAAGCTCCAAGAAGTGCAGTGCATGGAATCTGAGACCTCCACCTGAACTGAACAAGGAGGCCTAATCAGAATGCCACGCATGCCTTTAACTCCTTGCAGCTCGATGGCTTTGTTTTGCTCGGTCGCTGGGCAAGCCAGTACCTCATTGCCCACTGGAAACTGCATGTTTCATGCCCCTGTAAAACAGCCCTTTTTTATGGTTTTTACTCTTGTGTGGTTTTAATATGTCTCAGAAGTCTATTATCACTGTTTATATGCATCCACCATAATATCAGCAACTAATTTGCATCATATGTCATTATTGGTTGGAGATTTTATGTGTGCAAGCTTGCTGACATGTCACAGAAGCAACAGATTCATGCTTGGCTGACAGCTGCCAGTTTTAAAGAGGATAACCTATAAAATTGAGATTTGACATGCCCTTCTGTTAAATTAAAAAAAGAAAAAAGGCCGATAATAAGATGCAAATCAGGGTGTCTGGAGAATAATGCCCCCTCATTTATTCTGCCCGTGTATACCTGCAGGGACTGAGCAGTCATTTGTCACTTCCAAACGTGATTGGGTGGATCACATTTATCAGCCCCTGCATGCACATCTCTTCGGACACAATGGTTTTAATGGTTTTAATAATGCTTCTCTGTACCCACACTCGGTAGATCGTACACCTGTGTGAGAAAGAGAGACAGCAGACATCAAGAGTCTGGAAAAAGTTAGATCAAAGACTAGAGACTGATCTGCTTTTGATATTTTTTTTACAGTGATTATTAATCTGTTAAAATCACGCTGAGCATCTTTAAGGTTGTTTTCCAACATAATATCTATGGACAGCATTTTTATTTCTTAGTTATATTTATACCATGAATACTCGATTGTGATTGGCTGGAAGGAAAACCGTTTAATGCACAGGTAGTTCCAAGTCAGTTTAATCACCGTTCTATATTAATGTGCTGTTTTCATTGAAGCACATACATCACTCGCACACAGAGGGCAGAGATTGTAAAAAGCACACACAGAAACATTTAGAAGCACAGAAGCTTGTTATCAACACTTCCTTGCGACTTTTATTAATAATATAGCTTCGCTACTGCATCGCTATATTACATTTCTCAGCATGAGGGGGTTACATCGCTATTCTGACAGCTTCATTGTTAATATGAGATACTCTGAACAAATGCAGTTACACATCTCTCATCTCTCTCTCTCAATAATTAATTCACATTAATCCTATAGTTAATTCATTCAAATAAATTTAATCTTATGCACTACTTTATCTCTGTGTCTGATACAAAGCAGTCCGAATGCTAGATCTAACAAGCCTTAACTGACGAAAATAACCGTCAATTTTACCCTTCCCTAAAGGGTTTTACCCTTTACCCTTTTAATTATTGTAAGCTAGTTCGTTTTACAGTTTTACAGTTTTACAACTAGTTAACATGAACAAATAATGAATTGCCCTTCTACAGCATTTATTAATCTTTGTTAATGTTAATTTCAATATTTACTTATACATAATTAAAATCAAAAGTTGTATTTGTTAACATTTGTTAATGCACTGTAAAGTAACATGAACAAACAATGAACAGCTGTATATTTGTATTAACTAACGTTCACAAAGATTAATAAGTATATTATTTATGGTTAGTTCATGTTAGTTAATACATTGACTAATGTTTTATCAAACGAGACCTTATTGTAAAGTATTACCAAGACACCCAATATAAAGTGGGACCATATTTTTTTATTACCACATATTGTTTATGTTATTCAGTTTATGAGTATAAAAAAATATTTTTGCAAGTGATGGTCAATATAATTTACAGAATTGCATGGTGAACTGAAAAACACAGATGAACACATATAAACAAGTTAAGCTACACCATTCTAGCTGCTGAACCGTTTCACTTAACCGCATCACATTTCTTTATGTCAGTACTGCATGAGTGTCTCAGAAATATCCATCTGTTGACTTTCTGCATGCATACAAAATCAATTTGCGTGCTTTGACAGGAAACTGGGGAGAGCAAACCTCGCTGTGAGACACTTGCATGGGGGTCGTCCTCAGTGGCCATAGTGAATGTATAAGCAACATTTAAAACATGACTGCCTCTGAGGATAAAAAACATTCACAAGTGCTTCAGTAGTTATTTATTTATATTATACATCATATATATATATATATATATATATATATATATATATATATATGAATATATATGTATATGTATGTATGTTTGTATGTATGTATATATATATGTACAGTAAAAAATATGTAAATGATAACAACTGTGAATATGTTAATATAGAAGTGTGCAACATATATGTCTAAAATATACCACTTAATATTTTTTTAAATTATTTAACTGTTTTCTTTTTCTCATTGAAAGTGTGACCTGTCTGTAATTATTTCTTTTCCATTGGGATAATTATAAATAACCTGTCTTTCGAGAGGGGAAAATAATGATGTGGATTTTGCAGAATCCTTGACACCATGTGCAAGGTTTTGAAGTCACTTTCTGGAAGCTTCAGAATACCTCCACATGCAGATGCACATTTACTTGAAATGCAAATGATTTACAAGGTCACTCTGGTCTCTAAGTGCTGGTTCCATTTTTTTTCTCCCCTCTCGGGTGTAATTGAACTCCACAATTGAAAATCCACAAGGGCATATGTTTTATTTCCTTTTTTTTTTACCGTGACAGGTGCAAGTGCAACCTTCATGCCAACAGCTGCATCTTTGACAAAGAGAAACTCACTTGCGAGTGTGAGCACAACACTACGGGACCTGACTGTGGCCGCTGTAAGAGGAATTATCAGGCCAGAGCTTGGAGCGCTGGATCCTATCTCCCCATCCCCAAGGGCACAGCAAATATCTGTGAGTATACACACACACATTCCCATTCCACTTACTGGAAAGAACAATATGGGCTCTATGTTTGTGGATAACAAGGCTCACATGTCCTTTTACTCTGACCATAAACCATCTCTCATACTCCTGTCCTACCTCTCACAATGCGCTCACGGTGTCTCCCCAGAAGCCATTACCCTACTTCCAATTTAAAACCAGGTCCTCACAGGAACTTTGACACATCACAGTAACTTCTCAACTTTAAGAAGGGCTATCAGACATATTTAATATTTGATTATGGGGAGGGCGGCCACCATTCAACCCGAAAGAAGTCATATAACCATAAAAACTGCATAGAATCATTCTAACATGAATTTCTATTTGGTATGTCCTTTAGGTTTAATGACAGCAATAGCATGGAAGTGCCTATTGGTTACAGTGATAGTTTACCTAAAAAATCTGTCACATTTACTCACCATCATGTCATTCCAAACCTCTATGACTGTGGAGCACACAATTAGATATTTTGAATAAGGTTTCAGTTGTTTTGTCCATCGAAAGACAAAAAAAAAAATTTCTAATGACAGAAGTGAGCTGAGTGAACTATCCCTTTAAGGAGTGTTTACCCTTCAGAAAGATGCAGAACACTTGCATGAACTTTCTTTCACAGAAAACAGCGCATGTCAAATGTTAGAACTATAACAGAAGGACAGTTAGCCTTTAGAAAACCAGTGCTGTCTGTAAGCCTGGGGACTACCCCACCACTGCAGTTTATTTCAAATGGCAAGAGACAGAGCCTTCAATCCAACTCACAAAATGTTTGCCCTAGCACTCACCATATGCTTCTGGGACTAAAGCAGCAGCCCATATCACGGATATGACCTTAGCATGCACAGAAACTGTGTGCATGCCAAAACTTTCTTTTAAGTCTTCAGCAGGTTAGAAGGTGGGTGGGTGAGCGTGCGTGCTTGTGTGTGTGCATGCGTTCGTGTGTGCGTGTGTTTCTACTGTGAGAAACAGAATCAGAGCACAAGAGATCCAAATGATGAAGTGTAATTACACACCCAATTGATTCTGGCACCTCGTTCATCATATCCGTCCGTGTTTGTGTCTGTCCGTCCGTCCGTGTTTGTGTTTGTGTGTTTGTGTCCGTCCGAGAGTATACACGAGCGACACGTGTCTTCTGGCAGCTGTTGTACCTCATGACTCTCTTGGAGCCGGTGGAGTGTTTTGAAGGACTGAGATTGACAGGACATTATTAAAAAAAAAAGACAGCACTGACTCTGGACCCACTATAAAACACAGCCTCACCTTAAACCCCTTATGTGTGAGGAGAGGGAGAAGTCCATAACATAATAATGCTGTAATAGACAGGCTCTTAGATCATTCCCATTGGATTGAAAATAATTCAATTAAACAATAATAATAATTTAAACAGAAGAAAAGCAGTTTGTCAATTAAAATCCAATTGCAGCTGATTTTATAACAGTTCTTTGTGCTTGACACCATATAGGGCAATGGAGATAAACGTAAATAATTAAAACTTGCAGCTTTTTATATTCAATTTGCATTATTGTGCTTTTTTTAACCTTTTTACTGCTGACATCTTTTTTATTGAACCAAAATATTTCATTAAATAAGTGTTACTGTTTATCACAATGCTTTTTTTTTAATTGGCACTTTTTTACTAATTTAAATTATGAGTAATTTGTAGGTCATTTATAGTATGTAGTGTTAGTTCTCCTTTTTTTGTGTCATTGGAATGCAGAGTTGTTCCTCCTAGTCTGAGTGGGTCAGACAAATCAAGAAAAGAGCTGGATATCACTCTTCGTCAAAGCGTGCTCGGACTTCTGGGAAGTAGCTAGGTTCTCGCTTCACATCAGAACGGCGAGTCGGAGAGCGATCAGTTGGAGAATTAGCAGTGACAGACCATTTCTGCTTTCGAAGAGAGGGGAAGTGATGAGGGCGCCCCCATTTTCTCCCACCTGGAAAAGGCGCCAACGGGACTCGCACACAATGTTCTGGCCCGTGCTGATCTGAATCTAAAATGCCTTCTTGAACTTGACTAATGTTTGTGTGTTTTATGGGTTGTCAGAATGATGTAGGGTTTCAAGACACAAGTGAAAATAAGGTCTGATCTGCACTGTGCCTGCTGGTCCCCAAGCGAAGCAGTGGCATTTGGGATGGTTCACGCACATCATGATCAGCAAGCCCCTGTTAACGTTTAAAAACGGGAGGATTAGCAAGCAATGCTAATTGTTTTCCACGTCTCTGCTGAGTAATACTCTGTGGTTTAAGTAAGACAGCACTTCTATACAGAGAACTGACTAATTCCTCTTGTCCTGGCAGGATTAAACTGTGCAAATGAAACTTCAAATCAAACCGGTCTGGCCTTGTAAATTACTCGCGATCAAAGCACTTAAAGAGAGATGTGTCCCGACACGGTTTTTATCACTCCTCATTGACCTCGGCTTCAGTCCGTGAAGATAAAAGCTGAACATGATATGTGCTTTCATGCGACGTATTGATTTTACAGCTTTTTAACATTTAATTATTTGGATACAAAATTCCACTCAGCATACAACAGAAGTCACGGAAATCACGCTTGAGCGAGATCCACCGAGGGGGGAGATTCATAATACCTCATTTACTTCTGTTCTGCCTAGCTAACGAAGACAGCCCAACACATCTGGAGATGACAGTCGCAATGAGAGTAAATTATTATCAGCGGCGCCGTAGTGTACGACTGATGGCTGGTTTTGTTTTTTAATTAGTGTACATAAGTAAAGGGTTGCCAGATGTCAGTGTGTTCGCCTGCCGTTGTTCGGCGTCCTTGAATCAAATGGTTCGTTCCTGGGCTGAAACTACAACAGCTGTATCCTTCCTCCCCCACCTGCCATCCTCAGACGTGCAAACTTTCTTAGAGGAAAAGCATGTGAAGAAGACAGTTCCAGCCTTAGAACGTGCTCAGTCCTGTAGAAGATGTTTGCCTTCCTTGTTTTGTAACATGGACGATCTTGAAGTGTAATTAAGCGCGTCCTCGATCCTCATTCCACTGCCGTACGGATGCTCTAATTAGTGTTATCTGAAGGGCCAGGTGGCCATCTTGTCTTCTCCCAGAAGAGGAGAGTTATTTTGTACCATTTGTGTTATCTAATTATTCATTTTAACATCTCCACCCTGGCTGCATGTCCTCCACAACCACCACAGTTACCATTTCCATCTTGACTCTTGTAGTGTCAACTCCGAAAGCATATTACGCTCCCTCTCTCTTTCTGTCTCTTTTCTCTTTCTTTGTTTTCTGTTATGTTCTCCTTATTCCCCCATGAGACCTGGTTTGTTTACTCTGCCTTTTCCACATCTTTCTCCGTGCTGCCGCAACGGTAATCTCTCTTTCAAATATTTGTTTCTTCCTTCACAGGATTTTCCGCCGCAAGTCGCATTCCCAGAATCTTAACTGTGACTGTAACTCATCGCAGGCACTTTTTCATACTTGCCATCTCCCGTTCAAAGCTATTCATTCTGCGCTGTAAGACATTCAGATGGAGGTGCCGTTACTATAGCAGAGGTTGGCCGACAAGTTCCACCGGTGCAGTGCTTGTGTACGTCACGGTGTAGAAAATGGATGATGGATGGCCATGAGATGTAAGTGGCCAGGGAAAGTAATTACAAACTTTGCCTAGGGTAGAAATTTTGTAGATAAGACCAGGTGGACGGAAAAAGCAAACAGATGAGACTATGTGAAGGTCAGGAAGTTGTTGTACTAGAACAACAATAATGAGGACACCAGCAATTCAACTATCTCCGTTTCCAACATGAAATAAAGCATCATAGAGGGGTTTGTCCTTTTGCTGGCAACGGAAGTGGGCGGTTAAGGAACAGATTGGCTTTCAAATGAGACAAAAGGAAGTCGTCACAATTTTCATGCGGTCCAGCGGGAATCCCTCAAGCTGGATGACTTGGCAGGCGTGTGAGTGTGTTATGTAGGGCAGGACAGATCTGGTATCTTGCCCAGGTTGGGTTAATTACGTCCCGTCAACCTCTGGGAGGAAGCCTGAAAAATTAACTGTCAGTATAACATGTGTTTAGGTGTGTGTGGGTGGATTTTCCCCACAAGAGACTGTCTATTCTTTATCATTCTGTGCAGGTTGATATAACATTGTAGGTGTATTTTGATGGCATAATTGCTTGATTGTGAGAAAGGGGTCTTATTAATTTGTGGAAGTATTTGTTTAAAATATGAATTGAAGGAATGTGGAATAAGTCCCACACACTGCTATATATTTGCGCTGAATTATTTTTCGCCTAAATAATTTTTTTCAGTAAAAAATAGTTTACACAATTAACGCATTAACCATTTTTTCCCATCATCCTTTGGCTAGCGTTACATTACATTAAATGATCATGCTCTTGTTCAAGCAATTGCTCTGAACAAATCATCTGAACGGCTTTTCTGGATCGGCCTTTATAGAGACCGCCGATCACACATCCCAAAGCAATTATCGGCCAATTGTGATCGGCGACCGATCAATCGGAGCACCCTTAATGTTTCGGCGCAACACGACAAATCCCAGACAGTGTATAGTTATGCGCTGTTATATTTCTGCATTTTGCAATGGTCAATGGTCAAGGCAAAAATTAGGAAATAAAAAGCACGATGAAATGGTGCCAGTCAGAGAGACCGTTTCGTCAAATTTAAAAAATACAGTACATCTCTGTGGTGTTTAACATCACAGAAAATTCCCATGATGCAATGAGAATCTACGGAAGTGTATTGCATTCACTTGAGGAAACAAAATCGACTCTGTTTTTCTGAATTAACGAATTAATTATCTCTGAATTATGAGATTTTTTTCTTGAAAAACAAATTTTTTCTCTCTGTTTTTATGAATTAATAAGTTACTTCTAATTTTTGAGATTATCAAGTCATTGTTTTTCATAATTGTAATATGAGTTATTTTGTCATACACACACAAACATCAATAATTATTCAATAAGCAACACTTAACAACACAACAAGCCAATAAGCCATTAAGCTACTAAAGGTACAGTTTGTGCAAACATTTTCTGGCAGTGTAGAGAGTTAATTCAATTATTTTAGGTGTTAAACAAACAATAGCATAAAAGATGACAACCTAAAATTTGTAAAATCAGGTACAGGAAGAATGGAAAAATCCTCCAGAATATTAATTTAGCACAAATATTCATTTAGCACACACACTCCTGCCCATCATCAGTTGACCCTGGAGACTTGAGTGACCCCAGAGTGCAAAAGTTCAGATGGTAAAAATCAATGGAGCGTGCAATAAACATAAGCAGCCTAATGTGTTTCTGCATCAGGCTTCACAATTTGATTCCTGCTCTCTGACATAATGGAGAGTTCCAGCAGGTGAGGGGGGCTGAAAACCGCTCTGATTGAAAGGTAATCTAATGATATGACACATGATATTTTGTGTCCGTCTCAGGCAGACGACTGTCCAACTCAAAGGAGGAGATGTTAATAACTTACATGAATCGTGAGGATGAATGAGAACCATGACTAAAAGCCTGACTGTATTTAAAGCAAAGAGAGCAGACAATGTGCTATGAGAGGTGCTGTGTTACACTGTTGATGCTGTTTAGAGTATATAGAGACGTCTGTATTTGTTTCTGTGGTGTCAGATGCATCGTCAATCATTGTCATTTTTCCATGATGACGTTCAGGTAAAGAAAAAAAGAGGGAACCAAGCCTTACTGTATCTATGGACAAGAATATCATAGAGTCTAAAGCCGCGTTTCCACCGAAATTACTCAATTGTCCCAATTTGTCCCTTTCTGCGTTTCCACTGCAGTCTAAAGTACCATGGAGATTAGGCAAATTAGTCCGGTGACGTTAGGACTACACGCACCGCAAGGTTTTTAAAATGGTGGTTGAAATGAACTCAACCAATCAGCATGCTCAACACCCAAAAGTTCCACCCCCGAAAGTTTTTCGCTGTTTTCACCCGGCTTCAGTTTCAGCCAGTTTTCACCCAGCTTTAGGGATGCGCTCCTTTGAATTAAAATAAATAAATAAAGAACTTCGTGCTATTGCAAGTAAAACTCCCATGTGCTATAGTTTGCATATATAGTTGAGCTTACATAAAGTCTTCTGTGAAGGGTGAAAGATTTCTCTCTTGATTTCATCAATGAAAATCAAGCAGGATTCTTGCAATTAGCGATTCTCTTTGGTATTGGCATGAATAGATGTGAATGCAAAAGCATGATTCTATAGTGTGTTTCCCCATGCAGGTTGTCCTCTGTAGTCCTTTCCCTCTACTATCTTTCTGTCTAAGTCTTCACACATGTTCGTTGGAGGTGCCTGGAGGTCCCTATTTTCCAAGTGATTTCTCAACCCTCTTTCCAAAGGTCATACATTTGACTCTTAACTGTCCATATGAAGCAGAGATCAGGGAGAGAGATTAGATGGCACACACTAGATCAATGGCACACTGCGGGGGCGTGAGTTCAGCTCTCTTTCTGCCACCGAAGCATTTGTCTCCAAGAGTTCTCCATCGTTCAAAGGAAAATCTTCATTCACTGCTCTCCAACATTGCAGCAATGCTTATACCTCACCATTTTTTGGTTTATTTTTATTTATATACTTGAACCTGTTCCTACTTTTGGATTTGCTTTGTGTGTTTTTTTATGAATTATTCTAGAGGGGTTCTCTGCTGTCAATTGTTTGAAATAGTTGTTTTACTAGGTTGTTTATTTGTTAAGTATAGTGTATAGACCATTTCAAAAGATGTAAACAACACTGGTCCAGAAACACTTCCTGTTTCGGTTTGTAACTGTTTTCTTTATTTCACATGTAAAGAAAACATCTTAAAGATGTTTAATTAACTTTTTGATTCAATTTTAAATGTTCTGTTGGTTGTATTTTATCCCAGCTTTTATGTAGTGTTAAAAAACTGAAACAGGAAGTGCTTCTGGACCAGTGTTGTTTACATCTTTTGAAATGGTCTATAGCGAGAGATAGTCCAGCAATACACTACGAACTATTTTATTACATAAAAACTGATTATGGGTGTGTTCACACTTGGCATTTTTGGTTCAATTAAAATGAACCTTGCTGCGATTGCTCTGTTGGTTCATTTGAATAACTCTGAACACTATCATACAAACCGATGTGCGCACCAAACAAATGGGCCAAGACCGCTGAAAAGATGTGTCTCCGTCCACTTCCAAACAAACTCTGTTGTGGTTTAAATCAAATATGAACGCAACACGGACCAAAGGCATGTAAACGGGACATGATGTCACAAGATGCAACCCTAAAAAGGACAGAATGCTAACACACCTGTTTTTTTTTTATCATCATAGTCGTGATGTTTCCCATCACAGTTTGATACAGGTATCAGAAACACTCCTCGCATCAGATCTTTCTTTTGGATTCCTGCCATTGTTTTGACTCCTTTACACATTTTATAAGCTCTTCACAAGTCAAAAACACCATCATATGTAGGCTACGCACTTACAACGGGCTAATTTAGCCCAGCACATAGCATTGGTTTGGATGTTCGGGAAACGTCATAAAACGTCATTAAAGCTGACCAATCAGGTTTTGAATGAATAAGGCTAATTTTTTATTTTTATTTTTGGTCCGGACCAAATGAACCAAACTATAAGTGTGAACACACCTTATGTTACATGTTATGTACATTGTATGTGTTTTTATCCATATTTATTTCTATGCATTATCAGTATTTATTGTGTTATGATTATTTAATTATTAGTATTGTTTTTACAATTTTTTGTGCTTTTTATTACATTTTAAAATTGCTAATTGTTGCTATTGCTATATATTGTTACTAATATAATCTCTTCTCTAATCTCTCCTTTAGGCCTCCCAAATAGCGTTGGTCCAGTTAGTAAGTAAACAAACTCATAGATCTAAATCAACAGGAAGTGCGAGATGAACAGCTTTGCTTCTCACTTTACCTCATGTACACTTCTGGTTAAACGTTAATTTCTGATTTTCATTGGACCTATTGAGTATAAACTGTGCAACCTAATGTGATTTAGTTTTGAAATTAATTAGAACAGGGTTAAGGTTAGCTGTTTCTGGCAAACAGCAGTGTTGCCACATAATAAGATTAGAAGCTTAGAAGCAGAAAGGGGAGAATATCATTTTAATATGAGAAATGCAGCTCTATCTGGTATTATCTGGTCTGACCAGGGGCCTCATAAGCCAGCAGACAGATAGAGTTACAGGTGCAGGGAAGTTGAATGTGAAAACTGGAGCCATAGAGATATTGAACAAGTCAGAATGCATGTAGAGTCTAGAATATTTCCACACGCTTCACTTCTCTTGGGTCCAGGACAAATATACTCATTTCCTCGTTGGATAGATTGGTGTAACATATCAAAGGTGTATGAGATAGCATTGCACAAATCAAATATTCAATCATTACAGGAGTTGATAAGTATTTATACATCTCTGATTTATTCATACAATATAGTGTTACCACTGAACATTTGTTGAGAAGAAATTAGTGAACAAAAAACATTGCACTACAAGTTGCACTTTTAATCAGAAATGTACGTTCAACCAAGTGGACACCCTCCTCAAGTGTGTTTTGTCTTTGGCTGTAAAGCATGGTCTGTGCTGTGCCATTTCTGCATGGGCTACCTCCATTATTTCTTATACAATCATCAACATGAACATCCACTCACTGTCCCTCATGGTGAATTTACACACCTCCATCCAGAAAGACACAAAGATGAGACACTCACAGTGTACAACTAGGGTCCTGAACAGTTGGATGATACTTTAGCACCAAAACAGAGCTGAAGCCATAAAACTGTCCTCTGACCATCACTATAACAATTATAAACACCATTTTCTCTCTCTTTCATAAAAAAACTTTAGAGAGAGACCTTGTAAAGTGAGTCCTTGAGGACGGAAATGTTTTGCCAGAGACTGAAAAAGAAAACACTGCAGTTTCCTCAGAGTTGCTTGAGGGTAATTGAATTCTTTATTGACTTTTCCCAATTCTATTTCAAGTTTATTAAGCCTGCCAGAATTGCCTAATGCAGGCATTAGAGCAAAATTAATATTTTAAGATGAGATTTTGACTGTACAGGATTGCATTTCATTACTGGGATGGCATTGATTAAAGGCTGTCACTTCTTATTTAACCATTTTTTTCTCTCCAAATTTTCACCAACAAAAACATTAATGAAGAGCAGATGTGATGAGCATCGCTCTTAATGACTTGGTAATACAGAACACATTTTATATCAATAATAAAGTGCTCAACGTTGTCCCATGGGTATCATGACACTGGCTTCTCCATGTGTGAGTGTCATGTAATGTGATGAAAGAGGATAACTGGATTCATCTGTCAATCTGAGAGCTTCCAAAAAGATATTGTTCATTGCTGTGTTCTCACTCTTTGTGTCTAACTGGATTAAAAATAAAGAGACAGAAAACCTCTAGAAAAGAGTTGTGTGAAAATAAAGTGTTTCTCCAAATATTAGATACGTTCGATGGATCCAAATTGTTTTGTTTTTTTTTAGTTTAGAAAAATGTATTAGTTTACAAATTAAAGCCAAATCACAATTTGAAATAATTGTAAAAACATTATTTTTTTATTGTCTCTTTTAATGAGGTTGAGTAAAAAAAAAAAAAAAAAACTTCAACTGATGAAGTGATGCTGAAATGAGAAACACTTTACAATGTACACACACCCTCAGCTAACATTATCTTAGTAATCTTACAAGACCAATTATTTGTTTTTCATCTTTAATTTCCATCATAAAATATTACTGGAGCTTGAACTGAAAACTCAGTTATTTTCACGGAATTCCCAGAATCACATGGAAAAAAAAGTCATTTCTCCCAATGTGATTGGACATAGAGGCCATTTCATAATGGGTCTTCAAGATGGGTTTCCTCTGTCAGTAACCTGCGTCTGCATGCATTCTGAGTCCCCAAACACCATGCTATGTCCCTGGTGAAAAAAATCGAATTCAAATTCATAGACGTGTCTCACTGGAATTCCTGCACCCTGTCCTCGTTTTACACACTTCTCCCACACACTGAGGTCAACCATGAAGCAGCACATAAGGGACTTAACCATGTTTGTGTAGGAGGGAAGGAACGTTTGGTTCGGTCCTTTCGCTTTAGTGCTGCCTCTGAAGTTGACTGAGAGACTGCCCCATTCCCCGTCTTAATCTTTCCGCATCTAAGGAAATGATTCGTATGTAATTATAAGGATATTCCCATCATTTCAATTGTTAGCTTTTTTTCAACCGGAAGCACACTTCAAATGAATTAGTTTGATGAATTGAACAAGTATCTCAAGCAACCATGATCACACTCGTGCACAATCCGAAACACTGACACAATTTCCCTTCATCTCTGTCAGCCGTCTTTCTCATGTATTAATATAGAGTAAGCCACAATGACCACAGATGACCTGTGATTGGTCTATTGGTTGCTTGTCCTCTAAGAGCCTATCAGCTCGACTTTATGAATGACCCATCTGGAGATGTGTGTAGCTGTTTATGTGTACATGAGTCCAAACTTGAGCCGTCCTAGTGCATCTGACATCCGACAGCCAGTGCATTCAATTAACACCTGATTTCTCCTGCTTGCATGCAGTTCGGCAGAACATTTCATCTCTAGGTGTCGCTAACCGAAATCAAGGTAGGGTACATTTTTCAACTTGGATAAAATTTCCTTTTGACTCACAGAACAATTTTTAGACTGCTAAAAGAGTGAAACAGATCCAGCAGAAGTTTGCTGACAGCTAGTCTTTTTTGTACATTTGTTGTATACTGACTCATTCCAGATGGACAAACATGTTCTTTTTGCTTTTTCTCTTTCACGTGCGAGTTTCTGACATTTCTGAAAGCTGTGAGATTTTTGAGCAATCAGCTTTTCTAAGAAACAAGACATAAAGACACTCGAAGATGATTTAAAGCCCTCCATTTTAATTAGGAATGGCGCTCTCTCTTGGGCCCTCTCAATCTTTTTTTCAGCCCTGCTAGGGAGTTTTCATGGCTGTTTAAGTATACTAATTCAAGTTAATACATTGCGCAGAAGAGAAACATCATGCAAACAGAAGGCCTGAATAAACAGTGCTTTTGATTGAATTGGGGGTTGGAGGTTAGGAAAGGACACAGTGCTCATAGAAACTTGGGTTGATTTGTGAATGCATGATAAGCTGATAACTTTGGGATTGTTCTGAGCCCTGTTGTTCTGCTGTTGTGTCGGACTGGCAGCGAGGGATCTAAGCCTTATGTGCTCTCACACAAGAAGCCTGGGAAGCTCAAATGCGCTAATGCCAGCTGAGCAGTTTCTGCCAGCAATGCAGGCTTTTTCTTTTCCAGAGCCGCTGAAAACTTCCAAACCACAACAGCTGCAAGGAAGGAATGGAACGTGCACTGTGCACATTTTTGTCTATTTTTATCATTCATGACAAAAAAAACGGGATTTAGATAGTCTGCATTCTTTCAACTTCATTCTTCTTTTGGTATGAACATAATATAATTTGGGGTTTCTGTTGATTTAATGTTTTCATTTGATTTATTTTGTCTTTATTTTGTCCAGTAGCTCCTCAAGTTGCTTTGTCAACCGTTCCTTCTGTACAAGTTGCAAACAGTAAGAGAGGTAGGAGGACTCGATTCATATCCTCTCACTACTGTGTCAGTGTATGTCATCCGAATTACCCCCACCACCATCCCCTGAATGAATCCAGAGTGAGTCCTGTACTTGCAGAACACCTATCTATCCCTGACCTTACTTTTCCCGCTTTCCGTAGTATCAAGATGTACCATTAAAAAGATAATGATTTTATTGTGTTTACTTTATTTTTTGATTTGTTTGTTAATTAACTCCATCCTGAATCAACACCCCGAACTGTCCCGAATGCTTTTGGGACTTTGAAATTCGAGGAGGCAAAGCTTTTACTTGATGAATCAGAAGGGATTAATGTGTTGTATAAAGTCAATGTTGTTGATCCGAGTTTGGATGAGAACACTGAATCTGATATAACTCCACAGTGGCTCACAGGCGAGAAGCCTGTCAAATTTTTTTTGTTAAAGTGGGCCCTCTAAAACATTTTTCAGACAGAATGATTGACATATCCAGGCAGCTTTAGAGATCGCTTTTTAGGAGATATGTCTGTCTCGACTCCTCCAGTCGGGGGACAGGGGAAAAGGCTGCTGAGGAGGCCTGACCTCAATCCAGATGTTGATAATGAGAATCCCTCCATTTCTCCCGAGAGCCCTGGAATCATCTTAGGAGGGAAGGACACAGAGGCTTTATGAACGGGAAGATGTGTCAGACCCGTCGAAGTGAGGGTTCTGGCCAGTTGGTTGACCAAGTGTCCCTGGCAGGTCAGGGCGCCACTTTGTTATGTTATGCCAAGAGCAGCATCCGTGCATTGAGATTCAACTTCACTTTGAAACTAGGACAGACTCCTTGCGGGTCCTGGATAAACGTTGTTTGGTTTCTTTGGAGGCTGTGGGGAAATAGATAGGAAGTTATTTCTGATTTGGTTGAGCTATTTCTCATTTTGGAGCTGACAGAATCAATACTGAAAAAAGTGCTTTGTCTTTCATTTTTATGGCAGTAGTTCTGTGGAGAGGATACAGTTTGTGTACCCATTTTCGACCTGAGAGGCTTTGTTATTTTGGGGGCATCGAAAATAGAAGGCATTGTTTTCTTCTCATGTTTGAAAGTTCCAGCTCCTTCACTACAACACCCTTCCATCACTTGTTTCAGACAACTCTCCATGAGCAATAGAATATAAATTCTGTAGATGTAAATTTCAAAGTGCACTCGCGCTCTGTCGAGGTTGAAAATTACATCTACTCGTGTTTGATTTCCATGTGCCATTCCTATTTTTATTTTCCTCTCCATTGCTGTGGTCTGCTCGAGGCGAACTCTCTAATAACAACACCGCTTCTCCATTCATCTTAAGGTGATCGTACATCTAACACCGCTGGCTGCATCCATGGCAGTGCCTGCCACCCTACCGCTGTTTCAGACCATCCAAACCTCGCATGCCATGGTGCCCCTCTTCTGCAGCGCCGCCGCGACTCGCACACACTTACCCTAAACACAGCCACATCTCTCTCCCCTTTTTGCAAGACTGCGAATGCTTCAGTCACTCCAATCGCTGCAGTTACATCGAGGTGCTAAACACCGTCATTTGCGTGAGCTGTAAGCACAACACTAGAGGGCAGCACTGCCAACTGTGCAAGCTTGGATACTACCGCAATGCCTCAGCAAAGCTGGACGATGAGAATGTTTGCATAGGTCAGTCCTCCAGCACTCCCATTCACCAACGCACATCACACACCCTCCCAAAATCTGGCCTAGAAAGGCCTTCCCTTTCTATTGCTCCATCATCCTTCATCTCTTCCTTCACTCCCTTCTCAGTGTCTGTCAATCTCTCTGTCATCACCCGAGTCTCTTCACGCATGCTTGTGTGAGTCAGCAACGCCACGTTGAACCACATCCCTCCGATATTTGACCACAAAATCAGCAAGTATCTGACAAAATGATCCATGGCAGATTATATTATTTGACACCGTGTCAGGAAAAATTGGCATGTTTATTCGTTTTTCACGAGTTCACACTTACATAGAATTAAATAGAGTAAAGGTTACGCGTACTTGGTGCGCTGTCCGAGGGGAGGGCTCCGAGCTGGGAATTTGACCAGAACCTAGAGTGCTCCCCCGTCCCAGGTTGGGATAGGAATAGTTAGAAGTGAGGAGATGGGGTGCTGGAAAACTGTCATAGAACAGAGGTAAGTCTGCTGTATATATACCTCCTGATGCTAATTGAGTGGATTAACTGGATGAGCTCCTCTCAAACTTTGTTAATAAAACAGCATTTTTGTATATTTATTACAAAGCTCAGAAAGGAAAAAGTACAAGAACAAGAAAAGTCAAAGAAAAACTAAAAGACAGACTATTAAGTCAGAAAGGTGTCATTGTGAGACAGAGGTGATGTCTGCCTTCACGTTTCTGCTGTGAGGTGTCTGGGAGGGCTGGCACCCTCAGAAAAAGGTGCTGCGTGCTGCATCTGTCACTCTGGGAAAGAAGCAGCAAGAGAAAGAAGAGAGCGAGAGAGGTGTCTGGGAGCAGGTCACGGCTGTGTGACTTACACAGACATCTTTAGGTGTTACAGGTCACAGACTCTGACCTCCACCTCAACCCAGCAAATTCTGTACTCAATGGAGGGCCACCGAGCTGTCAAAATATGTGAGAAGTGCATCTTGGGAGAGGTCTGTGTTAGTGTTTTAGCAAAGCATTAATAATTAATAAGTATTAATGTCTTCTACTTACTGTAGAAATCTGCTCTGTAGAAAAACCTTAAAGGGATAGTTCACTTTGAAATGAATTTTTGATATGTTTTAGCTTACCTCAAGGGCATCCAAGATGTAGGTGTCTTTGTTTCCACAGTATTTTCAATTTTGATATTTTTCGGTCAAACCGTTGTTGTCTATCAGTCATATAATGCAGGTTTAGGGGGTCCTCCCTCAGTTCACTGTGAAGATCTTAACATATTTAGATATACAGGAAATTGCAATGGAAGATGATTTTGATATATCTAAATATGTTTAGTGAAAAGGTAAAATTTCCAGCGCAAGCGATCACTTCCAGCGCATGCGCAGACCGAAGCGCCCCCGTGCCGTCAGATCAGTTGGACATGGCTGTGGTTACACGAGGTAAAAACGATATAAATACTGTTCGTTTTCTCACACAAACCGCTCGTTTCGTGTCTTAGGCCATCAGTGTGTACTTACATTTACGAGTCATTAAATCATGTTTAATTTGGACTTCTCTGTGCATGCCCTTTGAGGTGAACTGAGGGAGGACCCCCTAAACCTCCATTATATGACTGATAGACAACAACGGTTTGACCTAAAAAAAATATCAAAATTGAAAATACTGTGGAAAAAGTGAATTATCCCTTAAGGCTATATTCACACATATAGAGAGTTCTGTTGTGCTGGGCATACTGGGGAATTTATACTAAAAAGAAGTAGCCGGATTTCTTAAGGTCAAATGTTAGTAGGGGGGATCCATGACCTTGAGCATTTACTTGGAGGGGGTTTTATTTAGTATCTAATTTTAAAATTATGCAAGTGTAATGTGTTACAAATGCTGTTTCATGTTGACTTTCAATGACGTTTCCTGTAGGATCAAAGGATTTAATTATGAGATTATTTTAAGAAATTATCAGTATTTGACTTTAATGCACTTACCGCAAACAAATTGGCTAATCAGGAACCCTACACCACGTGTCTCTGTCTTTCTTTTTCTCTTTGTATGTTCCTTCCCTTCATGCCACTCATTTTAGTGCTCACCTAAATATAGAAATATTTTCATAAAATTATTCATAATGCACAGTCTGTTATAGTCTGCATCGCCCTACACTTTTGCATAATGGGACTTCCAAGACATTAAACATTCACAAACATACGTTTTCCTCACTAAACTAAATGGCATTTTTTTTCCATTTTCCACCCTCACTCATCTTCCCCAGCTGATGCTTCTCATTATATTTCTTTGAAATGGAAGATGTAAGGTAAATATTCAGCTATACGGGTTATAAATCTGTCCTTTGTAGAATAGCAATGTGCATGAAGGATGCAGCAGAGGCCCATTTTGAGCAAAAATGCTACTTTTTGTGTAGAAAACAGGGACTTTATTCATGAGCTGATGTGAGAGGCTGAAGACCACAGACCCCATCTCTCCACTGTGTGTATGTGTGTGTCTTGTTTCTACAGACTGTAATTGTAATCCCTTTGGCTCAGACACTGATCGCTGTAATGGCACAGGATATTGTAAATGTAAGGAGGGAACGACAGGGGCTAAGTGCGATGAGTGTCTACAAGGATATTTGTGGGACAATGGCTGCAAATGTAAGTAGAACCTCCAACCAACCTGCAGCTTCAGTCCCTTGCTCTGTTTTCCATCTCTCTCCCTTCTCCCTTCTCTCCCTCTATTTTCTCTGTTTGCTGCTGCTTTTTTGGCTTACCCGGGAATGAGCAGCTTGGTTTGCTTACAGCACTTGGGAACAACCAAAAAAACTTGGACTGACTTCCATCCGAGGCTCAGTCACACCTGTTATGGTGCCTTGTTAGTGGTTTAACTGCAGATTTAATTTTGAGGGAATTATTATCATAATTTATCAGAATTGTTTTTATTAATAGTATTACTGTAGAATTCTTCTCAAGCACAGAGATAAATCATGCAAACAAATCCCATGCATGTGCATTTGTGCAGATGAATGCAGACAGCTGAGCTAATATTTGAAGTGAGCACAACATTTGACGCCTGCGCTGTGTTCTCTGGCTGTTTGCTGTTATGGCCACATTATGATCGTTGGTTTTCTCTCTTGGCTCCAAGTGTTGCGGTTGAAACGATCTGTAGGTCAAGCATTGATTTGTATTCTTCAATGGGCTCCCAGCATCAAAGGTCAACATTTACCAAAGCCTCAGATAACACAAAGGGATTTTAGCTGTAATAATGTAAGATGGACAGTCCAGCAAATGTGTACTGTATGTTGAGTTCAAAGCGGCTTTGAATGTAACAGTACGAGGCTGGTTTAGTGTGAGAAGCAGAAATTCACACCATCACATGTCACAAGATTAAAGTAAACCATGCAGAGAGTTTGGTACAAGTGGTGACATGTGGCAAATGCACTCCCATTACTATCTCTTCTAGAAGATCGAAGAGAAATAAAGAGACATGTTCTTTATACACATCCATCTCCCACCAGCTTGAAGATGCATTATCATGTGACTGTTTCAGTCAATGGTATGCACTACGGTAAAGCCACCATAACCATTTTAATTTGATGTTGTCATCAACACAGACGCTTTTTTGTTAGATGTCCTAGATAAGAGATTTGAGTTTGTTGCATTCGTCTCATTAAAAGTCCCAAAGGCCAAAATATGTGTGATAAATGTAATCTAACGCTCGTTTTCCTGATCCCGTCCATCTGCATGCAGATTTCAATATGCAATTAAAGCTCAAATCTTTCTTCAAATAAGCCTTTTCTTCCCAGCGCACCATGCAATCTACTGCTGTTCTCAATAAATATTATCCCTCTTATCAAAAGCAAACCCAATTAATGGCTCAATTTATTCTTTTATAAAGGTTTATTTACATTCAAGAAAAGTATGAATGCAGAAATGGAGGCTGAGCACATTTTTTCCTTGTTGTGAGTGCACATGCTTTAAACATAAACAGACCTTCTGTTGCTCTCTCAAAATGGGTTCTCGTATTTATTAGATAAAAACGCCGCCTTGTGCCTGGGCTCTAGAGGATATAGAGGTTAAACTGTTTGTAGGATATGAGAGATACATTCTCAACCAACAGCAGAGTAAATAGTTTCCAAACCCCCCCTCTTTTGGAAGGTAAAGGCTTTGTTTGCACCCATACCAGCTATAAATCACTGACGGGGCTCTTCTTGCCTCAGCAACTTTTTCTGGTCATCAGGGGATATCAAACTGAGGAGACAGAAAGAGTTGAACTCTTAGGGTGAAGCAAAAAGACCAAAACTCTTGAGAGATTATCTACAAAACTGCCTCTTTTAAGTCTCTCTTTAGATGAAGCACAAGAACACGTTTGCCAAAGGCCACAGTTGTGGAAAAGGTAATCGATCAATTTGCTCTTTCCCGCAAAGAGGAGTTGTTCTAAAAGTCTTTCCACAGACACAATCAACTCATTATCTCTTACCTCTTTCTGTACAGTTTGGTAAGAGGCAACATTGATGTCTCAATTGCAAAGAGTCAATATGCCCTACACATCTTTTTAAAATAAGATTACTTTGTAAAAGGAAACATCGTGTCTATAAAAGAGCATTGGGCAACGTGGAGATTTACAAAGATTGAATCGATAAAGCATCTTTTATAAACAAGCCTCTTTTTTTAAACAGCTGTTTTTCATCCTTTGATGCATAATTTCTTTAATTTTTCTTATGGGCAGGCTAGATAAGTTAAAAATGTGCTTGGAAAAGGGCAGTTGATTGTCATTTCATGACCACATCAGAGCCCCAAAAGTAAAACATACTGGTCTAAATTTATATTTTGATTATTTTAAGAAAAAAAAAACTAGATTAACTTATTGACCTACTGCGATCTGTTATATAAACAATTTATTTGTGAAGAGAGAGCAATAGAACAAAAGAAGCATATGATGTAACATTCCCTTTTACTGACCTGAATGTTTATGATTACATTTAATTTATTGTCATAATCATTTCTTAACATTTAGATAAACACACATAATTGTTATTTCCATTACAATTAAATTGTAGTATGGAAGCTTGTTTCCGCTACAGAATGAAAAATAAAAAAAGGTAATTGAGACTTTTTATCTCACAGTTCTGACTTTATTTCTCACAATTGCGAGTTTAGATCTCGCAATTCTGACTTTATCAGAATTACGAGATATGAAGTCAGAATTGCATGATATAAAGTCAGAATTGTGAGATATAGAGTCGGAATTGCGTATTATAAAGTCAGAATTGCGTGATATAAAGTCGCAATTGCGTGTTATAAAGTCAGAATTGAGTCATATAAAGTCAGAATTGCGTGATATAAAGTCGCAATTGCGTGTTATAAAGTCAGAATTGAGTCATATAAAGTCAGAATTGCGTGATATAAAGTCGCAATTGCGTGTTATAAAGTCAGAATTGCATGATATAAAGTCAGAATTGCGAGATATAAAGTTGCAATTGCGTGTTATAAAGTCATAATTGCAAGAAATTAAGTCAGAATTGCAAGATATAAAGTCAGAATTGCCTGACAGTCGCAATTGTGTTATAAAGTCAGAATTGCAAGATATAAAGTCAGAATTGCCTGACATAGTCGCAATTGTGTGTTATAAAGTCAGAATTGCAAGATATAAAGTCGCAATTGTGTGTTAAAAAGTCAGAAATGCATGATATAAAGTCAGAATTGCGAGATATAAACTATTCTGAGGAGGAAAAAGTTAGTCTTTTTTCCCCTTAGAATAAGCCTGATAACTCACAATTGCGAGTTTATATCTCACAATTCTGAGAAAAGATGTCAGAATTTCGACATATAAAGTTGCAATTATGTTATAAAGTTTTGCGAGATGTAAAGTCGCAATTGTGAGAAAAAAAGTCAGAATTGTGAGATAAAAAGTCGCACTTTGTCATTTTTTCTCAGAATTGCGACTTTATATCACGCAGTTCTGACTTTATAACACACAATTCTGACTTTTTATCACACAATTGTGACTTTATATCAAGCAATTCTGACTTTATATCTCGCAATTGCGACTTTATTTCTCACAATTCTGACTTCATATCTCGCAATTGTGAGATAAAAAGTCACAATTATTTATTTTTTATTCAGGGTCGGCAACAAGCTACCATAGTATGGAGACCACACAAGACATGCAAGAAAAAATTGTGTGCTTGATTTAGTAAATCGGAGGAACGAATAAGTAAATTGTGCGTAGAATTTAGCCTACTATTTTTTTCCTGCATATCATTTGCGGGGTTCCATAGATCAGTGTGCATCCAAACGTTAAGAAATGTATGATTTGCTTGTTTTTGTTCTAACAAATGCTAATGAGACTAATACTAATTGAACGCATTCAATCTATATGTGTGTTAATCACTGATAATTCAAATAGCTTGTTCATCTTGCAGGTCCAGTGTCTGAGTCTTGTTTTGTGGTACGAGTGTTGGTTTTCACTGGGGAACGATTGATCTGCATCGTAAAAAGACTCGGCAGTGATGAACAGGGGGAATTATGGACACAAACAGGGGCTCATTTTTCCCTGACTCAACCATAAAGCCCGTATCCACACAGGAGATGGAGAGAGAGAGAAGCTGGAGACCATGTAGTTCTGCCAGCTCCCTAATCAGCCTGTTATGACTGGGAGAGTTACACCTCCTCTCTCTATCATCCAGCACTTCCTGTCAGCTCAGTCCATCCCAAAATAGCTCGGTAACGGCCATTAAACAGATGCTGCAACGCACAAGTCCTCTCAGAACCATTCCTCGCAATATATTGATCAGTGTTTGTGCTTTAGATGATTCTTTTCCAATCAGCAGGTTTACAGTGCTTTTCTAGCTTTGATGAAGATGTGCGAGGCATGGCTTGTTCAATGGTTTTTATTTGTCTATGTTGGTTTTGGTAGTTTGCACTGGCATTGGTTTGCCTGAAGCTTGCTCAACAGCTTGCATCTGAAGGGAGCAGGTCTGGCCTTGGCGTCCCTGTTGTTAAATATTGGGGATTTGTAGAAAACTATGCCATGTTAATAGTTTGGGTTAATGGCAGTGCTGAGGTCTCTTGAATGACATGTTTGTAGTACTTCAATTTTTTTCAAATAAGTTTTGAGGTGGCCGATGAGCAGGAATGCCAAGTAAACTTTTTGAGGGAAAACAAAATTATAATAATCGAAGCTGAAGAGTTTCTGTAAAACAAATGTCTATCAATATTTTTTTACTTATGATTTTCTATTATTAATGATATTACGTTTTCTACTTGTGATTCATTTCAATCAATACTTTGCCTGCACTTTGTATTGACTATTTCTGTCTATTTTCAGCTATAGATGAATATATGATATCTCAGGATAGAGTTCTATGTAATCATAGAAGTGTTCATACTTGTTTGGGTGTAGCCTGTGTGTGTGTGTTTGTCTTCTGCTTACCCTTTTCCTCTCAATACCACAGCCCGGGTGTGTGACAATGAACTTCTGCGTTGCCAAAACGGTGGTGAGTGTATGAACAACATCCGTTGTCAGTGTCCTCCGGCGTACACCGGCCTGCTGTGTGAGAAACCGCGGTGTGAGAATGAGCCGGGCGGCTGCGGAGGGTCGTACTCGGGCCAGGCTTCTCTCCGCCCCCCTGTGCCGATCCTGCTTTTGCTGCTTTTCGTCCTGGGTCCCGTTCTCCTCGTGGAGATCTGCTGGGTCACAGTCCTTTGAGAGGCAGATCTCTGACTATCCTGCTTCTTCTGTATGAGCAGCGCACCGGACCCACGGACATTCGGCCGGCCATGTGGAATGTGCCCAAATATCAAAGCGAAATTTCAGAGGATGACAGACAAAATATAATAAATAAATACATCAACAAAAATAGCATTTCTAAAAATTGATTCAAAAAAAAAAAATCAAGGTGTTATTTATAGAATTTACCTGAGCATATGCTTTATGAAGCAAATAAGTGGAAGCAGAGACTTGAACCAAGCCATAATAGATACTCACTCCCCTAACAAAACGAGAGAGTGACAGGGATCGGAGCGGACAATACTCATCCCTTTCCTCCCTTTATCACCACGGCAACGGGAGCTGCGTTCAGCCAGCGGCATGTACAAGTAAAGCCAGCTGCCGCCCCTCACCTGAGCCATTCTGGGTATCGTGTTGGCTGTAGACTGCTTTCGGCTATTGTGACACAGAGCGATGGAAATCTGTCTGGATTGTGTGAACTGGACGATTACAAAAAAATAAATAAAGATAAAGCAGTAATAATATAGAAAAAGACTTGAGAAAAGAAGCATTCTTTGCTGTCAGTGCATTGTGGATACAAGGAAACCTATTGAGAATGTCACATTTGATCTGCTTTCAAATTGAGCTCGTCCCGCCAACACCCCCGACCCCACCCTCGAAAATAAACTTTAGAGTGTCCTTTGTGTCAAGAGCCCCGTCCTTCCTACACCATGTGCTTTTGTGAATGTAATTCTGTAACCCTTGATATTTTTTTTTTTTCTTTCATATATATATATTTTTGGTTTCCTTTCAGTCTGTGTGATGTTAGTCACACTCATGTGGTACAACCCCCATCCTCCAAAAAATACGATTAAAAACTCTGACTTTGAAATGTGACAGACTGTTTGCTGAGGCCATGGTCAAAGATGTGTTTTCACCCAAATGATGAAGTGCTTAGACAGTCATCAGTGTATTTAATTTTTGTATTAAAACAGAAGTTATTTTCTTGACAGAGTAAAGATGATGTAGAGCATAAACGTTTTTGTATTATTGCTGAAATGTGTTTAAGGGCAATATTTTAGTGCGTTCAATCAAGGTGCAAACAGAAATATTCGATTACGTTTGTCTGAATTTTTATTTAATTTACACTTTTTTTCACTTTTCCTTCAGTTTGATTGTGACGTTTTCCTAAAGTATATTGGCAACGTGCTGGCATCAAAGAATATCAGTTTACATGCAGTATATATACTGAGATGTAAAAAAAGAAAATCACACCAAAGGACATTCTAAATGTTTTCTTGTTGCTTTAACACTGAAAAGTTTAAGTGAATAAAACTTTAAAAGGACTTCATGTTGTATTGTTTTATTGCAAAATGAAGACTCTCCTTTAATAAATAATCGCATATGTCTTTATATAACATGCATATAAATTGCATACTTTGCAGAACAGTGGAAAATGCTTTAAGCCTCAGAATTTTCTACACACCATTTATCTCAAATTCAATAGAGTAATGATTTGTTTCAGTGAAACGCATTATCGGATGGGCAAAATTAAATATTAACAGCTATTGATGTCTCTTTGAGAGCCTGTTTTATGGAGTTGGTTTTGCCTGTGACTAAACTGCCCATCTATCGTACAGGTTTGTTTTAAACAGAAAGTTTTACAGCCGTTTTCACGATTATAGAGTGTGTGACAACACAGGCCTGCTAAATGATTCATTTGGAAGGAGATGCTTCAGGAACGTTTGTCTTCATCTGCAATGATACTTTAAAAACTGGATGCTGATTTATGAATCTTCATGTGTTGTGTATTTGTGTGTCTGCTTAGAAAACAAAAGAAAGTGATATCACATTTATGTTCTTTATAAACCACAATCATCATTTTTTGTTTTTCATTGGACATTTGTGACCAAATTATAATAATCTATCAACTCTTTCCTTGCTTTACAATGTTACCTTAAGAAATGAATGGCTTATAATTGCACAGATTTTTTAAAGATTCAAATGTTTTTATTCAAAACTAAAACTTCAGTTCTGTTAAGAGTATTTTTAGAAAGGAACTTGCTTCAATTTGTTTTCATAATTGCCTTTCATTTAATTTGAAATATTCTTAATTTGAAACTGTTGAATCTCAGAGTAAATAGGTAGTTAATAGAAATTAATCTTAAACAATATATATATATTAACTGTACACCCTAACACAGATCAACTGGTCCAGAGACGCTTGTATTTCTTTACTGGCTGAGAAAACGAGTTCACAACATCACCTTGTGTACATTTGAGATATATAGGTTCAGAAATGCAACATTCCCTTTATCACCATATGCAACGCCGACAAAGAGAATAAACAATTCAGTGCATCTACATACTCAGCAGATCCACTGTGTATTCAACAAATTCTTTGAACCAAGCCAACAGGCTCAGCCAAATCATCTGCATCGTTCCCATTGTTCTCTTCTATTTATAAGAGGAAAGATGTTGTAGATTATTCTCTAAAAAGATCTAGTGAGTGTTTTCATTTCTGCATTTTTTCCCCTTAAAGCAACGTGTCATTTTTTCTAGCATCTGGAGTTAATCTGCCCTTGAACAAGGCGGTCTATTGATTTTTAAATCAGCTTTTCCATTTGTTAAGAAGTTCCACTTCAGTAAACATAATGATTTTTTTACTTTAGGCACATCCAACTTTTTCATTGATAACAGGAATTAAAAACCGAGGATTCATTTAGCGTTGACCATTTCAGGGTTTTGATTTATGGTTTCCTACTCGGGGTAAGACCTTCAAAGTTACAAACACTTTTATTTTTTATCAGCTAATATCACATAGTAAAACTCATGGAAGTATTTAGATATTTGTGTTGCTAACCACTACAGAATATGTTTCTGGAAGACCCATCTGAAGTTGATAACAAAGGAGAAGAAGAACGCCGTCTGAACTCAGACGGCCGTCTGAACTCAGACGGCCAACACGCTTCGGTAAGATCATTATCCACCATTCAGCATCTCGCTTTTCTTCCCAGAACAAAAGCCCAACTTTGGCTCGCCATCTAAGTCCTTCTCCTGGAGGAGTCATGGGGATGTTGTTCCCTCTGCTGCTAATGGGAATATCTCTGCAAAAAAATTGGCAACATGCACTTTCAAAAGGGAAGAACACACACTGCATTTGGTATTTGGCTGCATGAGGATGTTCATTTGTCAGATTTGAAGGACTAGAGAATCTAAGCCCACAACAATGTGCATGGGTTCATGATTTCACGCTTAAGATAGAAT